CTAAATGATCTTTTACTAAAATTTAAATGTGTAAACCGATATTCCCCTAGAACGTACAATTTACAGATTCAGGATTAGTCATTTTGGGCAAGCAGAGATAGACCTGTTTTTGAATTGTGATGGCCCCACAGATATAGAAAGATATTTCTATGGATGAAAGTAAGATGGGTATTAAGTGGAAGAGATGGGAGACGGTTATACTTTGTTGAAGGCAGAGTGGGGAGGAAGCATGAGGAAGAGTTCATGAAAGCTGGAGTTTTGTAACAAAGCCTGTAGAAAGCTTAAATGATCATTATATAGGCTGAGGGACATGAAGTATTAGAAATAAGGACTGCCTACGAACTGATTAATTTTTGTCAATAAAGCAACAGTAGGGTAACGTCAAAATAGATCTGTGCTCTATTTAGACTTTTACCTGACTTCTACTGGTTGAAAAGGCTACACAAAGTAGACTCTCTTCTCTCCCACCTTCTTTTTCATGCTCTTCCTCCACACAAACTAAATATATATAGTATATACATACATGCAAATTTCCTTTGAAATCCATGCTTCATTCTGAATGTATACAGTATTCTTCACTTTGGTATTTATGGAAGTGGTGTGCACATTATTAACTGCATTCTAAATAAGGCTAAAATAAGCTTTTTGATGTGGGTTGTGCTTCACTTTTCCTTTTCAGTCTTCTTTCTTGGCATATACGCTGCATGAAGCATTTTGGCTTCTTGTTCACTAATGTCACTGCCTTATTTAATAATGTTTGCAGCCAATATGGAGAAGGGCTCTGCAGTATTTCGGCTTGTAGAACATTAAAAGGGCATTATGTCTTCCATTCACCTACAGAGTAAAGTGACACTGATCATGTAAAACATGGAATCAGAGGGATCAACTGGAATTGAACCAAGTGAAGTTCATTTACCCTGCATTGCTCCATTAAATGCTGAGTAATTAGCACATGTTTTAAAGTTTTGTTTTTGTTTTCTTTGGTGCAAGGTGAGGTTTGGGGGGGTTACATTGTAATTAGAGTATCCAGGCTGTTAGACTCTTAGAAATTGTAGCTTATATCCACTGCTCTGCATGCTTCTCTGCTGACAGCTCAGATTTTCAGCAAATGGGGACTGAGAACGCTATTGTACTTCTTCCATCAAGCTGAACTTAACCTTATAGCATTACTGATAAATGAATTCTCTAGATACCTGCATTACACATCCAAATTGTGCTTTCTGCAGTGATAACATCTGGAAATTAGTATATCGCCATCTTAGCATGCAGAAAATTGTTCCCATGTTCTCTGTTTTAGTATTACATCAGTGGAACAATTTATATGCACAGAAATGCCATCTATCTAAAGTGATTGTCATCCATTTGTTCTTGTAGTCTCCCTTACCTATTCCCCTGCTTCTAAAGTAAAATGTTAATTCCTCTTCCTCTTCCTCCTCCTCCTCTTTCCATATGTACTTTTTACTCAACAAAGAAATAATTATGAAAAAATACAAAAGATGCTTGTGTATAAAGAGACAGAACTGCTTTCCAAGCAGACATAATTCTCTCATGTCAGCAGGAAGAATCAAACAAGGACTCATAGGGAATTTCTCAAGGGATGACTAATAGTATTTCATTGTTAGGATTGAATTGAGCTATATTCTGAAAAAAATATACCACTTCTGAATAAGCCATCTCTCATTCCAACCATGGCGGATAACTTCCATATAATCTTCAACCTTACTTTTTAGGGAAGATTCTGGAGAGCATGATAGGGCATCAGTTGCAGAGTATTTTAGATGAAGCTGATTATCTCGATCTGTTTCAGACAGGATTCAGGCCCAGTGTGCTATGGAAATCATATTGTTTGCTCTTGTGCATGAGCTTTGTGAAGATCTGGCTGGAGTGTACCCCTCCTAGATCTTTTAAATCACTCAATGGTGTTCCATACCATCAACCATGGTATCCTCCTAAACTGCCTGCAAGAGGTGGTGGTGGGTGGCACTGTTTTGCATTGGTTCTACTCCTTCCTAAGCAGGTAGTTCTAATCCGTAATGATGGGGGAATCAGGAGTCTATCTGGGTTCTACCTGGAAACTTCAACTGGTACAGAATGGCTGCCTGAATGCAGCCGGGTGAGAGTCACTTAAGCTATATTATGGGCACAACAAACTCCAGATGGCTCATCTTCTTACTACCTTTGGGACTATCTTCTCCAGGCAGAATCTGCTTGTCTTTGAGGTCAATCTATGTGAGTATGCTGTGGATATCCCTCCCAGAGGTTAAGTAGATGGCAGCTGGGAGGTAGGCTTTCTCAGTAGGCATCCCATCCTTATGGGAAAATCTGCCCCAGAGGTTAATATTCAGGAAAGCAGTGAAAAATGTTTGAGGCTTACAGTGCTGATTTCTGGACCATGTTTTCCCATATACAGTTAGTTTGTAATTTTAATTTTTCATTCTAATTTTAATGCTTAAATCTATTTAATTTTAGTAATTCAAATATTATGGGATGTCTCATTTGATTACTGTGCTGTTTTAGTAGTCTGTTGTGAGGACGGTAAATTGTCCAGAGTCTTTTGAACAGGGTGGGATATGAATCATTTAATAAATAAAGACAGCCAAACTAGGAGAAATAGAGCGAACCAATTATATCCAGATAATTCCAAAGTTGCAAAGGGACAGAACATTGAACAGTCCTTCTACAAAAGGAAAGTTTGGAACTGAACTACTCATTCATGACAGATTTTAAACCACAATTTAGTGTTTATTATCTAGTTTGAATGATTACAGAATACAAAAACGCTGGGGGAGGGAAGCAGTAATGATGGCAGACGGAGGCACCATCTTTTTTAGCTGCCCCTTTTTAATTAATAGAAGCATCTAACTGACCTGGGTTGTTGACTCATGACAGATAGTTGTGTAGAACAAGACAAACAGAGACCAAATATTCAGTCTTGAGTTTCTCAATTTCTCATTTATTTTTTGTTTGTTCGGATTCAGACTACCAAATCAAAAGGGTCAATATGTTCAGTCAACTTTTATGAAAAATCCAAATTCCAAATTCTTCCCAACATTTCTGCCATAACCAATTCAAGGCTGATTCAATTAAACAAAAAATTATCCCAAGCAAATAAATGGGTAAAAGGGTAAAAATATTTATTTAAAAAAAATTGTTGGCCACTCTTACTTCCACTAGACACTTTTTCCATCAATAAGAACAACGAACTATTGCTTCAAAACCACAAGCTAGCATAATTAATATTTTGAATGCTTTAAAATTTAAAAGTAGCATGCCTTCCTTAATTTTCCAAAATAGAAGTAAATGCATGGTGCAATGGCTTGATTTGAAACCAAAACAAAATCATTCCAACTAAACAAATCTGTGGTACTTTAGTGTATGCAAGAAACAACTGCTTTGAATTAATTTCTTTTTGTTCCCCTCTTCACAGCCACAGGGATTTAAAACCAGAAAACCTACTACTGGATGAAAAGAACAACATCCGAATAGCAGACTTTGGCATGGCATCATTGCAAGTTGGGGACAGTTTACTTGAAACAAGCTGTGGGTAAGTCATATTAAGAGCTTAAATCAGTAAGCTAAAATGGTGTTGCAAAATGATGAAGTCACAAAGCATTTAGCCAATCAATTGTAGAATACCTAGAAGTTGGGGAGTAACAAAAAGGGCTACCATTTATGGGTTTTCAAGAAGTATCTGATTTGCCAGTAGGGGAAACAAGATTCTGGACCAAATGATAGATCTGTAGCATGATCCAGCAAGAGATTCTAATGAGTAGACTGGCTCTTCAGGGGTTTTTTCCTCTTAAGGGAAATACAGGTAGTCCTCAACTTACAACCTTATTGGATTTATGATGGGACCTTGGAGTTCCAGCCACTGCAACTTCCCTGTGGTCACGTGATCGTGATCTGGACGCTCAGTCCCCAACTTGCAATTATGACATTGCAGCATCCCGCGGTCACATGATCATGATTTTCAACATTCCCTGCTTGCTTCCCACAAGCAAAGTCAATGGGGAACCCAGCAGGAAGTCAGAAGTCATGGTCACGTGAGGTCCTTGCTTCATGACCCACGTGGTGCTTGCTTAACGTGGCAACTGGGACTGCTGGAACTGCTAGGTGGTGCGGTCTCTTGACATTGAGCTTTACTACCATGTCACTTAGTGATGGCAATTCCAGTCCCAATTACTGTCGTAAGCCAAGGACTAGCTGTACTTCTTTTTCCAGCAGAAGCTTGTATCAGACATCAACTTGGTTATAGCAGTTATACTATTTTTCTGATTATTCTTATGCAAAAAAATAAAATAAAATCATCCAGTGGGATGGTTCTCACCCAACCTGTGTGTATAGTGTTAATGAAGCCAAGATATTGAAGAAGACATCATGATGCCACCATAATTATTCTTGGTACAAAGCTATTCTATTACAGCTTATCAGATGATAAAGAATTTAGATAGTAATATAGATAGTATTTTTATAGTAATTTTATTAAAAATTACAGTTACAACAATAAAAACTAATACAAACTGAAAAAAATAAAAGAATAAAAAACAAAAGTGCAGGAAAGAAAAAATAGAAAGAAAAATAGAAAAGAAAGAAAAAATATATAGTAAAGAATATGGTGTGATGGAATGGACTTATGAAGGCCAGGCTCAGGGAGATAAGCGTGTTCTTAGCCCC